CGCTGCAGCACGTGCTGCGCAGCCCCGCTGCTGCTGCTGCTGCTGCTGCTGCTGCTCGGCTCCCCGGCCACTCGCCGGGGATACATGGTGCTGCTCCTTCGGGGTGTTTCCTGTGGCTTCTTTGGCGCTGCTTTTGCTGCTGCTGCTGCTGCTATTCCAGCTGCGCCCTTTGGCTGCGCTGCGCCCGCCCTAGCTGACTTTGCTGCTGCTGCTGCTGGCGCTGCTGCTGCTGCTGGTGCTGCTGCTGCTGCTGGCGCTGCTGCTGCTTTCATTGCTGCAGCAACGATAGAAGGCAGCAAGACGCCTCCCCCAAGTACCTCCACATATCGGCCGTCGTCACCCAGCACCTGTCCACAAACCCTAAACCCTAAACCCTAAACCCTAAACCCTAAACCCTAAACCCTAACCCCTCAGCTCAGCGTGAAACAGACCAGCGACAGCCACAGCAACATCCTCAGCAGCAGCAGCAGAGTAGCAGCAGCAGCAACAGCAGCAACAGCAGTAGCAGCAGCAGCAACAGCAGCAGCAGCAGCAGGACCTCGGCTTGTATGGAAGGGTTTGTAAATGGAAAAGTGTCTTTTGACAAAACAAACTTCCGACCAGGAAAAAGAAAACGCAGCAGACCTCGAACGGTCTAAACGCACAAACCCTAAACCCTAAACCCTAAACCCTAGACCTCAAGGCTGTGTGTCTACCCCCTCATCTCCCCACTTAAAAGCCTTCTAAACCCTAAACCCTAAACCCTAAACCCTAAACCCTCTCAAGCTCCAAGTCCCTCTCCACCCAGTGCCAGCAAACGACCCGCTCCACGCCCCCAACCCCAAGCCCCAAACCCCAAACCCTAAACCCTAAACCCTAAACCCTAAACCCTTTTGACCCTTTTGAGATCTTCTTCAGGCTCCACTCCTTCTTGCAAAACTTTCATAATTTCCATTTGGTGAAAAACTGGAAAATGAAAATTATCCACCGAGTCCTTTCTGTACACTTCTCCGCTAACCACTAAAAAGACGTTTCCCCCAAAGGGGGGCCCCCCGGGGGCCCCTTGCTGCTGCTGCTGCTGCTGCTGCTGCTGCTGCTGCTGCTGCTGTGGGGAGAAGTTGAAATGCCTGAAGGCCCACGTGAGGCAGTGGGGTATGTGGGCGGAGGTGTGGGTGCGGAGGCAAAAGGCCCCCGCGCTGCTGCTGCTGCTGCTGCTGCTGCTGGGTGCTGCTGCTGCTGCTGCTGCTGCTTTCAAATAAAAAGTTTCCTTAGGAGAAGCTGCGGGGTGGGCCCTGGAGATCTGCAGCAGCTCGAAGTTGGCAGCAGCAGACACAACGGGAGAAAGTCTTTCAAACACAAACACACAACTCCCCAAACCCCCAACAAAGTGCAA